TCTCTCTCTCTCTCTCTCTCTCTCACACACACACACACACACACACCCCTACCCAAAAAGTCCTTTACACTTTCAAGTCATATAAAATTATAGCTCCTCTGGAAGAGAAGAATATGTAGACTTACGGCAGACACTGGATAAAGCTCCATTTGCATTGGAAATAAACAGGTGACGACTCTCGATTTTCCAAGCATCAAGGAAATTTTGCTTTTGTCTCATTTGCCAATTGAGAAAATGCAAATGGTGTGTTCATTAAGATGTTCTGTAAGAAAATAATAAAAACACCCTTTCATAGAAAAAAAATTATAGCTCTACTTTCTCAAATGTGAACCTTGGTTACCATTTGACAGATGAGGAAATTATGACAGAATCTGAAATTACCTAATATGAAATATGCAGGATGCGATGGAGCTGGGGGTGGAACCCAGCAAGGCTGCACCTTTCCTGTTCTCTATTCCCTCTCCAACAATTTCGTGGCTGTTGCTTCTCTTTGGGTGAGTCCACAAAACAAATTCTTGTCTTCCTTCTGCTTCTACATACACTTCATATGTTTACAAGTGCTGCAGCCAGCTATTTATTGAGCTGCAGTTACCAAGCGGCACTGTGTCGAGAAGGGAAAAGTGGGGGACCTACATGCAGGAATGAAGGATATCTTGGCTCAATCAGCAAGTCGCTCTGCCATATCAGATTACACTGACATCTGTGGGTCTCAATGTCCACATCTGCAGAAAGGGCCAGGTTAGTATCCATAAAGTATCTCATCCTATGGATGCTAAAACATAAAAGTAGTTAGGCAGAGGCTAAAAACATCTTCTAGCTTAGATTATTGTCTGTTTTTTTTTTTCTTTTTTCTTTTGAGACAGGGTTTTTCTATGTAGTCTTGGCTGTCCTGACACTCATTGTATAGACCAGGCTGGCCTTGAACTCACAGAGATCCACCTGCCTCTGCCTCCCAAGTGCTGGGATTAAAGGTGTGGGTCACTGTCATCCTGCTGTTATTTTGTTTTTTATGCCTCCCGGTATTTTCTAAATAGTGTCAACACCACTAAACTATTTCATTTAATTATTTGTTGTAGAAAAAAAAAAACAATTGTGCAGGCCACTCAAAAAAGTTGACTGATGGATTGATTCAGAATTACTTTCCTAAAATTACTTTTTTAAAATTAAAGTTTAAAAGTTAAAATATAGTTATACATCAGTTTCCCCATTTCCTTTCCTCCTTCCAATCCTTCCTGTGTACCCATGCTTGAAATGATGACCTCATTTTCTTTGATTGTTATTGTTACATATATATATGTAATATGTATATAGCTTTGTTACATATATATGTAACAATAATATAGCACATACGTATAACAATAACAAACATTTATATATGTCTAAATATATAAATATAACCTGATCAGTCCATTTAGTGTTACCTGTTTGAATATGATTTCAGGGCTGACTGCTTTGTATTAGATAACCAATTATGGTCCTCATTTCTGGGGTGACTATTTGTCTCACTCTCAGCATTCCTTAGTTGCCTGTAGTTCTTTTTTAGGGATGGGGCGCCATGAGATTCCGCCTTTCTTGTTAGCATATCTGTTGGCGTTGTCTTTGTTCCGATCTTGTTTAGGCAGTTATATTGTTGAAGTACCATGGGTGTTTTCATTTCTTTTCTTATTTTTAAATCAATTTATTTATTTTACATCCTAACCACAGCCTCCCCTCCCACCTTTCCCCCCACTTCCTCCACCTTTCTGCCCATTCCCCCCTCAATCTACCCCTACTCCGAGTTTGCTCAGAAAGGGACAGGCCACCCATGGATATCAGCAAAAAATGGCATATCAAGCTATCATAAGACCAAGCACCTCCCCCTGTATTCAGGCTGGGCAAGGCAATCCAATGTGAGGAATTGGTTCCCAAGAGCCAGCCAAAGCACCAGGGACAGGGTGCTGTCATTTCTATGAGACACAACTTCACAATAGATTCCCTGGTCTTCTGGCTCTAACAGTCTTTCTGTTCCCCTCTTCCCCAGTGTTTCCTGAATCATAAGTGCTGGAGCTGTTTTGTAGATGTATCCATTGTGGATGGGTACCCCACAATCCTTTGTTATCTGAGTTTTGACCAGCTGTGATTTTCTGTAATGGTCTCTGGCTGATGTAAAGAAAATTTTCTTTGATGAGGGATGAGAGCTACAGTTACCTGTGGGTATAGGACCTGCCTCTACTGAATGTACCAGGCTCTGCTGACTCCCTATAGGAGGCATTACCTTCTTGTAGGAGGAAGTGAGGGGGGTGGGTTGGGAGGAAGGCTGGAGAGGTGGGAAGAGGGAAGAGGGGGATCTGTGATTTTTTATGTAAAATGAATAAACAATTTCTTAATAAAAAATCACAAACAAGAATATTTAAAATGTAGTTAGGCCGAAAAACCAAA